CTTCTCTCTCTCTCCCTCTCTCTCTTTCTCTCTTTTTACCTCTCTCCTCTCTCTCCCTCTCTCTCTCTCTTTCCCTCTGTCTTTCTCTCTGTCTCTGTCTCTCTCTCTCTCTTCTCTCTCTCCCTCTCTCTCCTCTCCCTCTCTCTCTCCCTCCCTCTCTGTTCTCTCTTCTCTCCCTCCCTCTCTTCTCTCTCCCTCCCTCTCCCTCTCTCTCCTCTCTCTCTCCCTCTCTCTCTCTCTCTCTCTCTAACACACTGCTGTCATTTTAAAGCTGGACCAATTACAACCCATGGGGAACTTTCCTCTGAATCTGGCTTGTGCCCCCATTGGCCTAAGTGAGGGGCCTTCCCACAGCGCCATCTCTCCTCCAGGTGTTAGCTGTGGATCTCCCCAGATCTGCTTCCTGGAAGACCTTGCAAGGCTCAGAGCTAAGTGTGAAGTGCGGAGCTGGCAGTGACATTGTAAGTGTTGTCCCAGGAAGCAGTAGAAATACAGGGACAGCAGCCACCCTGACCCACTGCCCGGAAGAAGTGTGCGGCTCTCCCTTCCCTGGGCAGGAAGATGTTTTCTCTCAATGCTTTTGGGCCGGAGACCACAGAACCTGGCCAGCCCAAGCCCTTCGTGGTGGAAAGCGGGTTCTGGGAGCTTTTTCCCAGTTCTTTCTGAGTCTTGGAGGTGTTGGACATGCCCTATGGGCTAAAAAGAATAGAACTGTGAGAGGGCTCTCCCTCCCTCCCCCCTCTCTCTCAGGGTGAGCTCTTCCTAAATGGCCAGATGTGCAGAATCGTGCAGCGAGAACTCTTCTTCGACCTGGGCGTAGCCTACGGCATCGACTGTCTGCTGACGGATCCCAGCCTGGGAGGGCGCTGTGACAGCTTCAGTACTTTCAATGTCCCGGTCAGTCCTGAAGTCACCACTGCAGTAAGAGAGCCCTGGACCCAAGAGCAGCCCTGGTGTCCCGCTGAGGCCAAAGTCCTTCCAATTCAGAATCAACCAGCATCTTCCCAGCCCTCCAGGCCTGAGTGTCCTTGTCTGCCCGCCCGCCCACTGCCCCTTCACTCCCTCAGTGTTAAGGAAACAGCTCAGGAAGACCCGGGTTGCACCAGCTCTTCCAGCCATTCACTGTCAAACCCATCCGCCCACTCCTCATTCAGCTTTTGAGCTTCTGCCAGATCCTATCCTGTAAAGTTGCCATATTTGACGGTTTAGGGCCTATAAAATGGCAGTTTCTGGGGCTTCAATCTAATCCACATCCATCCATTCGCCAGTAATTTAACAGCATTGGTAGAACCCATCGAGGCCCCCGCTGTACTAAACACATTCACACTGGTTCGCCCCCCGTTGCCTGTGGAGACCCATCCTGGAGCCGCCATTTTGCCCTGTACCCATCTAAGCCCCGGGAATCAGGTCATGGGAGCAGCTGCCACTGTGTTCGTTTGGAAATTGAGTCTTTAAGAAGACTTGCCATGACAGAATTGGTCCGGTTGCTCCCAGCACTTGGCATCTCGTAGGCCTTCAATAAACATCTCAAATCTTGAGGATTCCAGGCAGCCAGAATAGGAGAGGGAAGCAGTTGGGCTTCGTGCTGCAGGGTTCAGGGCTGTCTTCATTTCCAGAGTACATTCACATATATTTTTTCAGCTGATTGTTTTCCCTCCCCAGGCCCTAAAGATCAAATAGCAGCAAGACTTATTATCCCTACTGTATCCGTGGTAAAACGTGGCCTAAAGTATCTGGGCCAAGTTGAAACAGAAGTGCGCTTCCCATGGTTGCTAGCGTGTGTCTGTGCCGCTGCCCGACCTGGCACTGTAGAACAGGAGCTTTTCCCCTTAGGCCACCAAGCCAGAAAGCTCAAGTCCAAGACAGCGTTCAGGTGTCCCCATGGCAAGGTTGCAGCGTGATTCTTAATCTTAATCAGAATCTTAATCGAGATTAATTAAATTCCCAGCCAACCCATCCAAGCACTAACACGGGGCGTTTCCTCGTGTTTCCCTATATTCTTGGTCTTAAAGCCTCTTTCTTTGTGCACTAGGGGGATTGCGGAAGCTGCCTCAATACCCCCAGGTGCCCAAGGTGGACCAAACCGAAGGTAATTGTGAAGGCAGCGGTGACGTTTGGAGAGCTGCCAGGCACTGCCTCGGCACCCTCATTCTGGGGCGGGTGCGTGTGGAGGGGTCTGTGGGTGTTGCACAAATGTGGTTTCTGTAACTCCACAACCAAGTCCATGGGGTGAGAGACCCGCATTCTTAGCTCAGGTAACCGTGCCAACCCACTGCCCGGCTTCCAGGAACTCTCTAGAAGAGTCATGGAAATGTAGACCTAAAAGAGACCTCAGAGATGAGCATCACTGTAAAAATAATGACCACATTGTGTTGGCTGCTGTCTGTGTCCTAGGCTCTGTCCTGGCCCTCGATTACCCTTGTCCCTTATTAACACCTGGAGGAGGCTCTTTTCATCTCCGCTTTACTCATGAGAACATGTGTCCCAGAGAGAGCAAGCAGTCAGCGCCCGGCCACACAGCTTGTCAGGAGCCAGGCTAGGATTAAAACCCAGAAAGCCGTGTAAATTAACAGTAAAGTCAGTACATTCTGGAGTCCATGGTTACGAGGTCACATTCCAGCCATCTTCAGCAAGTTACATAATGTGTCATTTTTGCTTCCTTAAAAATCAAGCTAATAACCCTATGTGTTTATCAGGAAAAAAATGAATTTTAAAGCTGAGTGTGGTGGCACACACCTGTAGTCCCAGCACTCAGGAGGCTGAGGCAGGAGGATTGCTGAGAGTTGGAGGCCAGCCTGGGCTACATAGTGAGTTCAAGGCCAGCCTGACCTATGTAATGAGACCTATCTCAAAAAACCAGAAAAAAAAAAAGACAAAATTGATTCAACATGGAAGTGTACTTAAGTCCCTGCCACACAGCATGTGTTCATTAAATGTACTTTATTACTTATTCTAAAGTCAGGTTCTTTTTGCCCTCCTAGTAAAACCTCTAACAAAAACACCGCTACAAAACAACATGTGGCTCCCACCCTCCTTGCTGAGGATTTGGGGCATTACCGCACTCTCCCGTGGTAGGAATGGCAACCATGCCGTTCACACACAGGTCCCAGGGTCCCAAAGTCCTTCCTCTTGGGGCCCAGAAGTCCCCGCCTGCGCTCCAGCTTTGCCCTCCCACCCCAGGCCCTGCCCTATTGCGTTTTCATTTTCAACTGGGCAGTACCAAGGTCCACCACGAGGGGCAAGCTAGACCCCCAGGGCGCCAGGCTGGGAGGAAAGGCAACCTCCTGGTCCCCGCTCTCCCTGCAGGGGGTGAAGCAGAAGTGCTCCTACAGGATGATGCCCTTCAGGAGCGTCCTGGAAGGCTGCCGGAATGAGTGCACCCTGGTGATCCAGCTGCCCAGGTGCTGCAAGGGCTACTTCCTGCCCGACTGCCAGGGTGAGGGCTCCCCTCTGCCTCGCGCTGCTGGGACAGCACCCAGGTGCTAAGGAGGTGGGACACGGGGTCCTGGGGCTCCCTCTTGGAAGAGACAGCCTCTGTCTCCTGCTGCACCCCTGCTGCACACTTGTACTGCACAGAGTTGAGGCTCCACGGTGCCTGGGCTCCGGCTGTTCTCCAGTCAGGTCACAGGCAGACATTTCCGCTGGTGCTCGAAGCCCCGGGCATTTCATTTTCGAAGCCACACAGCATCCGTTACGTGGACGAGCATGTGTGCTTGAGTGCATGTGGCACGATCCTGCCCTGGGAAGGAGCTGGCGTGGTGCCACGACACGTATGGGCATTGTCACAGCATTGCGCCCCTCCTGGCTTCTTGTCCAACAACTACGAGCGAATGACGCGTCCTCAGCAGCAGCACAGCGAGGCCCGTGCTAACCTCCGTCCGCCAGGTGCTCATCAGCCAGCAGGCGCAGTGTTGATGCCATTTCCCATAAATGTCACTACCTTTCCCCCTGGTGACAGGAGCAGGCTCCGTTGTTGACCCCACTTCACAGACAAAATAAAGGGACAGCGCGGGTGACAGTGACCCCAAGTCCCCCACCCCGGAAGCTGTGATTGTTCCTCTGTCTCCTCCACCGGTCGTAATCCAGGTGGGACCATGCAGGGCTGAGTCCGCGCGGCCACTCACCTCCACGACCCAAATAAACACAACTCAGTGTCCTTCCTTAAATGCCACTTGGTTTTCAGCGTGCTCTCAATGACAGAGCACAGTGACACCATGCGACAGGTCGGCAGGCACTGTGTCATTAGCATCGCCACCTCTGAGAGCTGAGAGAGCCAAAGCACAGAGCGAGGCACTGGCCACCGCACCCAGCACAGTTGGCCTCTGGCCCTGTCAGGCTGAGTCACACAGGGCACCGGGCCACGCCCCCGGGCACCATGGTCCTGAGCGCCCCCCCGAGGGTGCCAGAGCCCACAGCACGGTTCCGAAGGCCACTCTGGGTCCGCTGGCCTCACCTCACCTCCTCCTCCTCCTCGCAGCCTGCCCCGGAGGACCCGACACCCCGTGCAGCAACCGAGGCATCTGCCAAAAGGTGTACTCAGCCGAGGGACAGTGCCGCTGTGACAACGGCTTCAACGGGACAGCGTGCGAGCTGTGCTGGCCGGGGCGCTTCGGGCCGGACTGTCAGCGTACGTAGCCACGCCTGTGCGCGCGCTGTCACTCCCCATCCCCCGCCCCGTCCTCCTGGCCCCAGAGTGTCCTCCTTCCCCGCCTCCCTGCTCTCCATCCGGGACTGAAACTCGGCTGACCAGTCCCTCACCCCTGCAACCCACGCTCATGGCGTGATCAGAAAATATGTGAATTTTTTAAAACTTGTTCTAGAAATTTATGACAGTAAAAGACACCTCGCCTTTGACACCCCTCGCAGTCCTCCCCCGGGCTTGGAACGCGCTCCTCCGCCTTCCTCACCACTGCAGCCCTGGCGTCTGCTCCCCGAGGGTCAGTTGCGCTGTGCGGCCACCTCTCTGGCCTGAATACCCCCCGAAATGACGCCCTTTCCTGGTCTTTTTGGCTTTGGGGAAGAGGCAGAAGCTGCACAGAGCCAGACTGGGTGAAAACTGGGCGAGGACACAGCACCCCGTTTCTGTTTGACAGAAATTGCTGTAAACGCTTGGTCGACGCGGGTGATCAGGAATCACTGGGAATGTGTAAATGAAAGGTTTATTACTGGGGCCAGGGATTTAGCTCAGGGGTTCTGCCCCCTGCCTCTCTAGCACAAACTCCAGAGTTTGAGCCCCGGTACCAAAAAAAAAAGGAAAAGAAAGATTTGTTACAGCAGTAAATGGCAGGTTCCCACGGATCCCTCTGGAAGTACTCAGGTACTCTGACTTGCTTCGAACACACGAATCCCATGGTTCTTGACAGTGTGTCTTTTACTGTAAGAAGTTTATTTTCTTTTTTTTTTCTTGGTACCGGGGATCGAACTCAGGTCCTTGCGCTGCGAGGCAGGCGCTGGAACCACTGAGCTAAATCCCTGGCCCTGTAAGTTTATTTTCAATGTAAACATTTAACGTATTTTTTGATCACTGCCTGTATGCTTGCTGAGTCTTTACCAGTACTGACAGTTGACCCTCATCCAGCGCCGAAGTGCGCCTGGCCTCTGTTTCCCACATGTGTCTCTGTCCCCGTGACAACTCTTTGGGTGACCATTCTCCACCCTCCCCTTAGCAGACAATGGCCCCAGGGCACAGAGACTAAGGGATCTGATTGCTCAGCATGCAGGAGTTGTTTAAGGTCTAGGAACAGAATGCCAGCTCTCAGGGAGCAGAAAACAAAGGTCATTATAAAGAGGCAGGTAGAGCCAGATGTGAGGGCACACACCTGTACTCCTAGCACTCAGGAGGCTGAGGCAGGAGGATCAACGTGAGGTCAAGGCCAGCCTGGGCTACGTAGCAAGACCCTGTCTCTAAAAACAAAAAGGAGCAAGTAATTGGATGAAGAATACAAGGAGGCTGTGTCTTGAGAGCCATCTCCAAGGGCGCCTTGAGTACAGACCTGATGGAGGTCGTGGGTCAGCCTGGCAACAGCCCTACACACGCTGTGTGATTTGACTGGTCAATGTGGCAGCCACTAACCACATGTGACCACTGAGCACCCAAAATGCATGACCAAAGGACCGAATTTTTAAGTGAAGTTTAAATAACCATGTGTAGCTGGTGTCCAGTGTACTGGACCATGCAAACCAGAGGGCTGCCTTTGCTGGAGGAGAGGGGTCATGTGCAAAGGCCCTGGCACAGAAGCAGGTTTGACAGGCAGGAGGCCAGGGAGGCTGAGCAGGGCAGGTAAAGAAGAGGAAGAGAAGAGGGAAATAAACTCTGAAGGTCACCAGGGGCCGAGAAAGGCAACAGCATCAAGTCTGAGGGCAGTGACGGAAGACTGCACTCAGAGAAGTGTCCTGGACAGATGAGCCGATCACACCCGCTGTGCCCCATGGAGGACACCCGCACTAGACCGGCCACCCCAGGGAGGCTGGAGCAGCAAGCGAGGCAGGATGGTGTCTTGGGCTGGCTTGGCCACCACAGAGGCGGTGAGAAGCACCAGAATCATTACCTGTGTTTGCCAGATTTTTAAAGAGACTTCTGCATCAGGAAGGTCCACATCCTGTCCCATGCGCCGTGACACAGTGCACTTCCATGATGATGACAAGGCCACCATTGTGACTTCTGGGGTGTTGTAGGTACACAGGCTGCAGGAACATGCAGCTCCTGGCGATCCTAAAACCAGCATGGGTACAGAACTAAAGAAGTGTGGAGTTAAAATAAAAGAAGACAGCTGATTTGGAGATGGGGAGGGAGGAGGAGAGAGATGCAGACCACTACTGGGGACAGCAATGAGAATCAAGAGGGAGCTGCAGAGATTTTATTGAGATCCTGGTCCCGCTTAGGCACCTGGAATCTGATCGCTGCCCTGGCTTATGTCATCCTGGCCTTGGGTTTCTTATGCCCATGTGACCTTTCCCTGTCCTTAGGGACGGGACGGGGAGTTTAGGCTTAAGGAGAAAGTTTGCAATTCTTATGTTAATCGAGCTACCTGGGAATTTTGAGTTCTTTGCCTGTGTTTTCCCAGTCGCTTGAGTTTTGCTGCCTTTGCTTTTCCAGTTCCTGAGTCGCTGCCTTTGCCCTCTGGTTGCTGCAGTCTGGCTGCAGCTCAGATCTGCCTTACTAATTCTTACTGACCTTGACAAGGCCTTCATCCTGTCCTTTTCCTGCCTAGCACCCCTGTCCCTACACCTCTCTGACCTCTGTCCACCGCTGGCTGAGCCCCAGGCCCTCGGGCCCCTCCTGTGGCCCGTTGTCCCCTCACCCCGTGGCCTGGTAGTGTGAGTTCTGGTTGGGATGTTTGATGACATAATGAGTGGCTCAGAGCCAGGCACCCCATGGTGCTCACTGAGCCTGGATCTGCTCCCCCCCTCCAGCCTGCGGCTGCTCCGACCACGGCCAGTGCGATGACGGCATCTCGGGCTCCGGTCTCTGCCTCTGCGAGAGTGGATGGACAGGCCACCTCTGCGACACACGCACAGGTCTGTGTGGGGAGCTGGGGTTGAGTGACACCCAGAAACGGAAGCGTGTTTGGGTGCTGGCCCAAGGGCCACAGAGTCTTCACTGTCACCGTCCCAATCTTGATTCTTACCCAGCACTCGGGAGGCCTGAGCTGGTGAGTGGCCTGCCGGGCCTCCATGATGGTTCAGCTCCCCTCCAGCCAGAGGCATCTCTACAAGTCAGGTGCGGTGGCACACACCTGTCATCCTGGTGCTCAGCCTCTGGGAGGCCGAGGCAGGAGGGTCGCAAGTTCAAGCCCAGCCTGGACAACTTAGTGACGTAGCAAGACAATGTCTCAAAATTTTAAAAAGATTTTCAAAAAAGAAAAAAGGCTGGGAATGTAGCTGAATGCAAAGGCCCTGGGTTCAGTCCCCAGTACTGTGCAGGAGAGGAGAGGGCATCCTGATCTCTTCCTAGGGAGTCTGGCAGCCTGCAGTTCTGGGGATCCCAGCAGCATGGTTGACTTCAGCTCCCCCTGCCTCCTCCCCAACACCCCAGCTCTGCCCTCCCCGTCCACCCTTTCCCATCACCATTACACCAGGGTGGGAGGGCAGGGGCAGGGGGCCAGACAGTTCACCCCCCCAAGTTCAACCCTGTTAGATTCAGTTGGAAAGTTTTCCTGGTTGCCCCAAAGGTGAGACATTCGTGCTCCTTCCGCTCATGGTGTTTTTGCAGCCAGGGCAGGAGAGTCTGGGAAAGCTCCGGGGTGAACCCCAGCCTCCTCGCCTGGTGCAGGACGAATGGTGACCTCTTTCTTCGCAGCTGTGTCCCCAGTGTGCACGCCACCCTGTTCTGCTCATGCCACCTGTATGGAGAACAACACGTGTGAGTGTAACCTGAATTACGAAGGGGATGGAATAACGTGCACAGGTGAGTTCCCTTTGCACACCTGTGAAACAGCAGCATGGTTAGGAAGGTCCAGGATGGGTCACAGCGACTGGGCTCCCTCCTGGCTCTTCACCTTCCTGCCTGGACCTCTTGAACAATGCTCACTCTCTCTGTGACTCAGTTTCCTTAGTGGGTGTGCTCACCGCTGGCCAGGCCACCTCACCCAGCATGGCCTTACAATTGCTTTGCAAGGCAGGATTTAAAGTATTTTTCTAACTCTGTAAGTAATATAGTCTTTAGAAAATGCACTGCATTTTTAAAAAGTGAAGCCTACACATACTCTGACCCACCCACAGTGAGAACCACTGTGAACATAGCAATATCCATCGCTTGTACTTAGGATGTAGGCTTGGCCATAAAAGTCCTAAGTGAACAGTGCATAAACAAGTTTATTTCTGCTTGAGTGAGGGCCTTCAGGGCTAGAACGGAGTTTTACCTTGAGAAGCATTTAGGTTCCACATCCCTTCTCTCTCTTTGCTCTGCCATTGTCATTTGAATGGCTTGAGATGGCCACCACCATGAATGCAACCCAGGCAACAGGATGGAGGAGGGAGAGAGGAAAGAGAATCTCCTTCTCTTTTGGCGCATAACCTATCGGTTGCTAAAATCAGGTCTCTATTCCACTGGCTGGCACCAAATCAGCCACCACATCTAGCTGCAAGGGAACCGGAAAAGGGTTGATTTGTTGGGTAACCCACAAGAGAGGCCCACTGAAAAATCCATTTATTATAGAAAAGGAAGAAAAAGTTAGCCACCTCAGCCAGGCATACTTCCTGAGGTTTTTCCATGAAGCACTCACCTGGGGTACAAACTTTCTTTATAAAACCTAGATTTTTGCCATCCCTGCCATTTGCACCCTCCACAGAAGGGATCAGAACTTGACAATGGCAGCAAAGACCAGGCTCACTCTCTCTTCCCACCCAGCCCTAGTGGCCCTCATGTTTATCCTCTGAGTCTCAAGTGGCTACCACGACTCTGCAGAAGTTCAGGCAGAAGAACTCTTACACTTTCTGACTGCTGCTGAGGCCAGAGCTAGTGTAATTAGGGGCTGAAATTTGGGATATTGTGAAGACCGAGTTCCCAAGAGCCAACCCAATGCAGCGAGGTCAAATTAGCCTGATGTAGCATCCCAGCCCTGCCATGCTCTAGCCATTGTCAGGTCTGTGAAGCTCTCTGAGCCTCCATTTGTTCATCTGTGGAACAGGGTTGACAGTGTCTGTCTCACAAGGTGTCCCATATTGCACTAACTCTGCACATGTGCAAACATTAAAAACCCAAGCTCAATCTGAACACCACTACCCAGGTGAGCCTAGAAGTAGGTGACAGGGTGGGCAGAGGTGGACAGAGGCCAACAGGCCTGATCTGTGAGGGTATCAAAGGACACTAGTGTTACAGAGCCTTGCACAGAGGCCACAGCGTGTGGGAGCAAAGGCACAGCCATACAGAAGAAGTCTGTTTACTCCCCAGAGCACTGGGGCAGGGTTGGCCGACCCCTCAGTCCAAAGCTCTGGGAACGCAGATGATGGTACATGGAGCCCCTTCTTCCTTTTTGCAGTTGTGAATTTTTGCAAACAGAACAATGGGGGCTGTGCAAAGGTCGCCCAGTGCTCCCAGAAGGGCACCAAGGTCTCTTGCAACTGCCCAAAGGGCTACCAGGGGGATGGCCACAGCTGCACGGAGATAGACCCTTGCACGGATGGCCTCAACGGGGGGTGTCACGAGCATGCCACCTGCAAGATGACTGGTCCGGTGAGTTCCCCATGAAAATAGGATCGAGCAGCCCTTGTGCTGAGCTCAGCTTCTTACTCCACCTGCGTGGTCTCTGCTTCCTCTTTGGCTTCTGTGCTTTCTTCTCCTCCTCTGTCTGTTTCTTGTTAAATGCAAAATGGTATCTGTTTTTATCACTTTCTCATTGCTGGAACACAACATCCAACATCCACAACTTAGAAGAGAGGTTTAATTTGGCTCATGGTTCAGGGGGTTCATTCCATGGTTGGCTGGCCCCAAAGCAGAAACATCATAGCAGAAGGGTGTGGGTGGAAGAAAGCTCCTCACCTCATGGCAGCCAGGAAGCTGAGACAAGGGAGGAGCAGGGTAGGCAGATGCACCCTCCTAGGTCATGGCCCCATGACCCACGTCTTTCACTCGGGGCCTGCCTCCTAACAGCACATTCAGTATGAACCCATGGATGGATCTTGATGAGTATAGTGATCTAGTCCCCATGATCCAGTCACCTTCCAAAAGCCCCACCTCTGAACACACGGGACTTTGGGGAGACACTAAATCTAAACCATAGATTGGCAAACAAGGGACATTAGCGGGGAAACCGTGAAAACCACAGAAAGTCTACTGTTTAGCCAATAGGAAATAACATTATTTTCTTTTGACAAATGAACTGTGGTTATATAAGATGGTAAACTGGGGAGATGTTTACAGAGGGCAGCCTGTATCTTCACAGCTTTTCTATAAATCTAAAATTATTCAAAATTAAAGCTTTTGTTTGTTTTGTTTTGTTGTTGTTTTTAAGGCAAGGTCTCTCTATGTAGTCCACGCTGGACTCCTCAAACTCATGGCGATGCTCCTGCCTGAGCTTCCCAAGTCTAGGGTTACAGGCGTGCATCCCCACACCCAGCCTAAAATTTAAAGTTTATTAAAGCAAAAAGTTGAGAAATGGCATAAAAGTGGCACTCGCTCATCCCGTTTAGAGTGGGACTCGTGCCCCATTTCTGCAGCAGGCAGGCAGGTCCTGGGGGTGACGCCCAGTCCTGGTTATGAGCGTGGGTCTTCACCAGGCCGCCTTTGAGACTTGGCTCTGGAGGCTGTATGCCCTGAGCCTGGCTACTTAACATCTCTGGCCCTGTTTTCTCATTTGTAAAGTGGGCCTAATAATCATTCAGATGTCTTCGGGTTATTGTGGCAGTTACACAAGTTGATTCACTGACTGACTCAGGGGTCACTTACCGTGTGCTGTGGCACCTGCCAGGGATGCAGTGGGCAAGGTCCCCCGCACACAGATAGGGGGAGGAGCCAGTGCTTGGCACAGAAACCAGTGCCCAGGGGATTTCCAGGGAGCCAGGGGGCCACTGTGCCGACGGGGCCGGGACAGCCGCTCTGTGCAGCGTGCTGGGGAGCTGCGGAGGAAGTGGCGTCAGCGCTGAGGTGGCCCGGGTGACCCTGTGCCATCGCGGCCCTCACGGTCCCCGCTGGGTCCTCCGCACACCTCCTCGCTGGGGGCGTCGCCAGGGCACGAGCGGGCTCCATCTCCCCACAGGGCAGGCACAAGTGTGAGTGTAAGAGCCACTACTCCGGGGACGGGCTGGCCTGTGAGCCCGAGCAGCTGCCCCTGGACCGCTGCCTTCAGAACAACGGGGACTGCGCTCCGGATGCCGACTGTGTGGACCTCCACTTCCAGGGTCAGTGTGGCCGGGGCTCCCGGCCCTTCTTCAGGCTAGGGGAAGGGAAGGGGCCCGGGTCTTGCCAGGCCCTGAGCCGGGCAGGCAGGAGGGCAGGGCGGTGGTCTGTGAGGGCCGCAGGGCGCCTGCTTCTCCCAGGGAGCTGGGTAACCACGGCAACCGTGGGCTGCAAGGATCCAAGAGGCTCAGCTCCGGGCCTCAGTAACAGAGAAGCGCTCGCCGCGCGCGCACAGCGTCCTAACCAGTTGTTGGGTAGCAGCTCATTGTACTCCCAAGGGTGATTTAAAAGCTTACGCCCAACGCCGAGGTGTAGTAAAACCGGGAAAACCCGAGAGAGGAAAGAGCCCCGTGGAAGTACAGAGCCCCGGATGCCCTGGGGCTTCTAAATCCTGATGGGGAAAACCGCAGAGGACCCCACAGGGCGCTGACCGGGTGCGAGGCGGACGCCCCTGTCCTGAGGACCATTCAGGCCAACGCGCCACGCCCATCAGTGCTTCCTGGAGTCTGAGTGCGCTTGGCTTGGTTTTACAGCTCGGGTCATTTTCTCGCGTGGTTATCACATATCTCCATGGCAACTGCTGACTTCCTGCCCCTCAGATGTCAAACCTTGAGACACCTCAAGTCCCTTCTGAGAGAGAGGGGAAGGATAAGCGAGAAAATACTAGGATCCACAGACAGGTCTGCTCTTCCAACGAGTCCCAGTGGAGTTAAGGAAGCTTCTCTGTGTGTGGTAGCGGGGACTGAACCCAGAGCCTTGGCACTGAGCTACATCCTCAGCCCCTTTTTATTTTTATTTTAAAACAGAACATTGCTACATTGCTAAGTTGCCCAGGCTGGGCTTGAATTTGCAGTCCTCCTGCCTCAGCCTCCCAGAGTGCTGGGGTTACTTAGGGAGCTCATCTGAGAATTGAATCAAAAGGAGCATATTCAACCCAGCATTCTTAATGTCACAAAAAAATCCAAAGTAATGTACATATCTGACGGTAAAGGGTGATCAAATGCACAGCTAACACACAACCACTCAAACGCACTGTTAAGAACCATGTGGTGGGGCTAGGGATTTAGCTCAGTGGTTCTGCCGCCTGCTTCACTAAGCGCAAGGACCTGAGTTCAATCCCCGGTACCAAAAAAAAGAACTGTGTGGTTGTGCCAGGTATGGGGGTGCACACCTGTAATCCTAGCTACTCAGGAGGCTGAGGCAGGAGGATTGGAACTTAGTGACCCTGTCTTAAAAAATAAAAAGGGCTGAAGATACAGCTCAGCAGGCGGAGCATGCTTGCCTAGCATGTGTGAGGCCCTGCATTCAGTCCCCAGCACCTCGTCCCCCCCAGAAAATATGTGTGGTCCCAGCAGAGAGGAACCTTTCCGTACATCAGGCCAACACAATCACCCAGGATGAAGGCTGCGGTTAGACCTCCGAGGTGTAGAAAGTACCCTGTCGTGGTATCTTACAATGAATGGGCGATATAAAAAGGGACTTGGTTCTTGTACTATTGCTGGTCTCTGTTTTCAGTTGTTTGGCTAGACAAGATATCAGCTATGAACAAATAATAAAAACCATTAGGATCTTAAGAGGCACATAGATATTTTTCTTTTTTTTTTTCTTCTTTTTTGGTACCAGGGATTGAACTCCAGACCTTGCACTTGCGAGTCAGGTGCCAGAACCACTGAGCTAAATCCTCGGCCCACACAGATATTTTTCTTGAAAGCTTTTTTTAAAAAGCATTCAGAGGGCCAGGGATTTAGCTCAGCGATGCTACACTTTGACTGGCAACCCCAAGGTCCTGAGTTTGATTCCTGATACCCGGAAAAAAAAAAGGCATTCAGAGATCAAAATATATAGAGTCCCTGACGGAAATAAACCTGAATATATGTTTTCATGGCTGTAAATGTTAAAAAATTATTCAGTTATAAATATGGGAGGAGAAATCATATTACCAGAGAAAATGTATAATATTGGCAAATAATCATGATTCAATGGTAAATTATTTAAATTTCTGAAAACTGCATATGCAGTCGAGCACTACATTTATAATATATGTGATATATAAATGAATAGAAAAAAGACTGGGGCTGGAGATTTAGCTCAGTGGTTCCACCGCCTGCCTCGCAAGCGCAAGGCCCCCCATTCAATCCCTGGTACCAAAAGAAAAGAATGTGGAATTAGTTAAAATTAAGTTACAAAAGAAAACAGTAAAAAATGTGGTGCACCAAAATATTAGCAAGGGAGCAATGGCCATTTCTGGAGGGTAAGGTTGTAGGTGAATTTTTATATGTTTCTGTAGAGCCCCAATTTCTAAGATAAAAATATGCTTTTTAATTTTATTTTTAACTGGCACGTAATAATTGTACATATTTACAGGGTTCAGTGTGATGTTTTGACACATGTATACATTGTACAATAATTAAATCAAGGGATTTAGCAGGTCCGTGACCTCCTACATTTATCATTTCTTCGTGGTTAGAACATTCAAAGTCCTTTCTTCTAGCTATTTTGAAATATTCAATACAATATTGTGCTTTTTGTTGTTGTTTTGTTTTGTTTTTTTGAGACAGGGTCTTGCTTTGTAGTCCAGGCTGGCCTGGAACTCACAGAGATCCTCCTGCCTCAGCCTCCTGAGTGCCGGGATTACAGGTGTGGGGCCTGACGCCTGGCGTCAATTCAGCATTGTCACATACTGAGTCTGAGCAAGAGGACACCAAACTTATTCCCCTCTCTAACCATGCCTTTGAACCTGCTGACCAATCCCTGCCCGCCCCTTGCTGTGCAGTCTCTGGTGACCACTGCGCTCCTCTCTGCATCCAAGAGGTGGCCGTCATCTTTGGTGTCCATGTATGCGTGCGATCACGTGGCATTTGTCTTGGTGCCTGGCTTACCTCACTTAACGCAACGTCCTCCAGATTTATCCATGCTGCTGTGAATAGCAAGGCTCCACTGCCCTTTACGGCTGCATACGTTCCCTGTGGCTGCACTGCTTTGCTCTGCCCCCCTCTCTGATGACGTGCGGGTGACCCAATCCCGGAGGCTGTGAAGCGTGCTGCAGTAGACAGCGTGGTGTGCAGCTGTCCCTGATTTCGCCTCCTTTGAATGGATGCCCGGTAGTGTGCGGCAGGATGATGTGGTGGTTCTATTTTTTAGGAACCTGCATACCCTTTCCAGTAGGGGCTGTACTAAAAGTTCAATCCCCACCTTACTGCACCTGAGTGCTCCTCCTCCACATCCTCACCAGCATTTGTTATTTTTTGCCTTTTGGTGCTAGCTGTTCTAATTGTGGTGCTGTCTCATTGGACATACGTTATTTTCATGGCTAGAGAAGAAATAAATACTTTGAGCAATGTCCTCAACATAGCCGGGAGGGGGAGTGGCTTCCGAAGGCACGCGGGGTAGAGTGTGCTACTGGGAAGCGGTGCAGAGGGCTTTGGTGGAGCCAGGTCCACCCGGCCGACCGGGCCCATGGGCCACCTCCTCTGCCCTCCTCCAGACACCACCGCCGGGGTGTTCCACAGCCGCTCCCCACTGGGCCAGTACAAGCTGAACTTTGACCAAGCCAGCCTGGCCTGTGCCAAGGAAGCTGCAGTGATGGCCACCTACACCCAGCTCTCCTATGCCCAGAAGGTGGGTCCTGGGGCGTGGGCGCCAGGCAGACCGCATCTACGGGGGCGGAGGTGCCACCTCTTTGGGTGGGGCAACTTGGGCTGTTGCCTTGTTGGAGGCAAATACAGGAAGCTCCTGTTATAGCCAATGTCAGGCATCTACTGTGTATCAAGCACTGTTTGTGAGTGCTTTGTTGACATGATTATCCATCCTTACGACCTCCTTGGAGATGTTTTACAAATACAAAAGGTTGAGTAAAAGGTCTAATGTCTCCCAGCCTAGAGGTGGTAGATCGTATTAGCTTTCTTGTTGCTGGGGCAAAATACCCAACACCTGCAACTTAAAGGAGGAGAGGTTTGTTTTGCTTCACAATTTCAGTGGGTTCAGTCCATGGTCTGCTGGCTCCAAGGCAGAAACAGCATGATGGAGGAGAGCTGATCAGCTCATGGCAGCCAGGAAGCAGAGAGAGAAGGGTGTTCCTGGAGACAAGTCACATCCCAAGTGACCCGCTCCTTCCAACCAAGCCCCACCTTGGAACACGGACTTTTGAGGGCATTTTCCATCAAGCCATAACAATCCAGTGTTCACGTGTACCCTGCCAGACCCCAGAAGTCTGTTCTTGACCATAGCACCCAACTGTTAGAGTAGGAGCAGAGACCGGAAGTGCAGTCCTCACTGCTTGAACCAGAGAGCTGAGGTCAAGGTTCTCTGGAACAGCAGGAGCTCTGTGGCTGCAGGGCTATGAGGGGGATGCTTGGGAACTGTCCCAGGCCCCAGCCGGGAGGACCTGGGGCTCTGTGGCTGGGCAACACCCTTCCTTAGCCTCTGAACCCTGAAGCCTGTCAGCACCTTGGAGTCACCGGCTGGAATCGGAAGTGATGCCTACAGTGTATGGCTTTAGAGCCCTTCCTCTAACCTCCATCACCACCAAAGCACTCTACAGACCTGAGGCCTCTTTATCAAGGAACAAAACCCTCAGAGACCATGACCCAGCCTCTTGAGTCGCCCTCTGAGTCGCTGCTCTCCAGCCTGCGGTGGCTGATTACGAAGGAAAAGACGATGATGACTTAGACTTCTGTCGTCAGAGTTGTGCTAACTCCTGATCAGATGAATTTGCCCAGGGGGAAACGGCTGATTGCAAATCCTTTCTTTTTTATGAGCGTGTGTTTGTGATACCTAATAATTACACTCGTCTGGGCAATCAGTAATACACACATTGTACCTTGGTCACTTGCAAATCCTTTCTCAAGAGCAAAGGGAAGAAAAATAGGCATGAAGGCCTGGATGCCTACAGAAAGGGAGGCCACCACTCTTGTGCATCCAATGGCTTGATCAATGAAAATTTAGTGACCAGGAGGTCCCAGGAGGGAATGAGAAACAAACCAAGGGCTTCCCGATAGGTGAGGGCAGCAGCTGACCCACGGTGATGTTCGTGTCCCTGCAGGCCGGCTATCACCTCTGCTCGGCCGGCTGGCTGGACAGTGGGCACGTGGCCTACCCTACAGCCTATGCCTCCCAGAAGTGTGGCGGGGGCACCGTGGGGATCGTGAACTACGGCGTCAGATCCAACAAGAGCGAGATGTGGGATGTCTTCTGCTACCGCATGAAAGGTAACTGCCCCAGCTGAGCTGGCCAGGCTCCCAGGGTGAGCAGGGCTGCTGGGCCCCTGCCTCATTGGGGGTGGACCCTGTGTGCCTCTGCCTTCCAGATGTGAACTGCACCTGCAGGCCGGGCTACGTGGGAAACGGCGTCTCGTGCAATGGGAATCTGCTGCAGGTCTTGATGTCCAACCCCTTGCTGAAGAACTTCCTGAAGGTAGGTGCTCTGCACAAGGAGGGTTGCCTGGTAGCAGCTGTCAGAAGCATGAGAGCTTGAATGAAGCCAAGGGCTTATGGTCGTGGTTAAGCGCTTAGGCGTTGGACCATGTCTTAGGCACCTTCTTGTCACTGAGGTACAGTACCCAACACTCACGGTTTAAAGGAGGAGGGGTTTATTTTGGCTCAGGTTTCAGTCCACGGTTGGCTGGCTCCCAAGGAGAAACAGCACGGCAAAGGGCCTGGCGGAGGAAGGCTGCTCACAGCACTGAAGACAGGAAGCAGAGCGTGCAGGGAGGAGCCAGGAGGGGGAGGGACCCTCCCAGGCCAGGCCCATCTCTTCTGGCCAGACCCCACCTCCTCATAGCAAGTCAGCTCTGAGCCCCCAAAGTCCAGCCACCTTCCAAAGACCCCACATGTGAGCACATGAAGCTCTTGGGGAACGTCGAGCTTCCAGCCATAACAGACGCCTTGTCCAAATTTGAGGCTTGGGTTTGCCACCCATGTGCTGCATAACTTTCAGCAGATTAATTTCCTCTCTGAACCCCAGTTTCTCGTCTGTGAAATGGAGTTGATGGTCACCCCAGCCTCAGAGCATCCCTGTGATCACTGAGTGAGTTGGTAGTTGTGACGCATGTAGACCTGAGCTCAGCACACAGAAAAGTCAGTATTGAGGTCGGCTGCTGTTGTTACCTCTGCGGTACAGCAGTGTAAGCGTCTGATCTGCAGGTGTGCGGCTCTCCTTTGTCCCCAGACAGGGGCAGCATGGTTGGCTAAGCCTACCTGGTGGTGACCCAGGGAGCCAGTTCACGGAATCAATTTGCATTTGTGCTGCTCTAAAGTCGCATCAGGGTTCTGCAAGTCTTTCATGAGAAAGAGTTTGTATTGGCTGATCAGAGAATGAAACTCATAAGAAGAATGACTAAAATTTTGAGTGCTGACCTTGCACCGACCACTGTACCAAACCTTGTACAAGGACAGATGGAAAAGGCTCTCCCCTCGCCTTGACTACCACAGATCCCCAGCATCTCAGAGAGAAGCTGGCACATGAGAGGTGCTCAGTAAATACTTGTTAGAAGGAAAAGGTCCTCACACACAACCTTATGAGGTTACTTCTCCTGTTTCCATTTTGTATGTGAAGAACCTTGGGACACGGCCTGACACCCTAGAACTGGGTTCAAATTCACACTGCTGGTGCCCGCCTCCCATCATCCTTTGCGGTGAGGAACATGGCAGCCAGTGCCCGAGCCTCTGCTCTCAGGAGCACTGATGGTGGCCTGGGGAGGACAAGTGTCTAGCAAGATCAAGGTAGAAATGAGACCCAGGACCTGGAGTGGAAAACCTTTGTGCACAGACTAATAGTGTCCATTTAGCTCATCTGAAAATTGAGGTTGCCATAAATGTGCTGAAGATAATAAACACTGCATCCAGCATTTCCACTGCTTGGCTTAGGACAGCATTTCAGAGCAAAGACAAAACCCTTCAGCAAATGACTTACCTTCTCCGGGCTTCAAGAGTCCTGTCTGCAGGGACAAAGTTCAGCGAGGTAGAGCAGTTTCTTAAAATCTGTTCAGTGAAGGGCCAGGGATTTAGCTCAGTGGTTCTGCCACCTGCCTCAAAAGTGCAAGGTCCTGAGTTCAATCCCTGGTACCAAAAAAAAAAATCTGTTCAGTGAATATTTACTGAGCACCTACTCAGTGTGTGAGGTCTATCAGCAAACAAACAGACCCGGAATAAAGAGAACAAATAAATAGTATTCAGTGCTAAAAGGCAATGCATATTATGGAAAAAGAAAGTATTGAGCAGTGGGTCAAGCACCCCAGGGTCCCATTCTGCTTTGGGAAGGTGGAAGCCATCGCAGCATAAACCCAGGAGAGGGGCAGGGGCAGGACCAGGAGGCCTCACATTTCAGAGGTGTGTTGGGGCCGCCATGCTAGCAGTGGTTTATAAGGTGGCCGTGGTGTAGGATCATGGGGTCAGCTGCAGAAAGGAAGGTCTCCTAAAACTCCCATGGGGCAGTGGGAGGGGCCCGACTCAGGGCTGACATCAGACTGTCCCCAGATGCGTGATGCCCTGTGACCCCTCCACCCAGCCTAGCAGGGCCGGGCTCCATCCGACCTCGTCCTCTCCTGCCCGCAGGAGGTGCTGGCCTACTCCAACAGCTCAGCCCGAGGCCGGGTGTTCCTGAAGCACCTGACGGACCTGTCCATCCACAGCACCCTCTTTGTGCCCCCCAACAATGGGCTGTGGGAAAACGAGGTGCGTCGGGCTCCCTGGTGCCCACACTCTAGGCTAATGGGAGGTACCGGTCACCGCGTCAAGGCTGGCTCGCCGTTACTGACACTTGGCATCCACTGTGAGCTGTCGCGCTCACCCGGCAGCAGGTCAGGGGCCACTGCCCTCACGTGCTCTGGCCTGAGATTAGCCCTCCAAGGCCCACTGGGGTCCCTGGCTGTGTCCCCGGCACTCCAGACACACTCTCAGGACAATGGCAGGAATGGGGGGAGCCCAGTCCGCTGGTGTTCTCCAAACTCTGGTCATGTTTGCTGACGTGAGACCAGAAGTAGGTCACACAGCTGAGCCTTTGTCAGAGCAGGAAGCACAGTGAGGCAAGAATGCAGGGAGAGGTGGAAAACCCGGCTGGGGACAGTCAACTCCACGCCAAGCTCCCGTGACACGGTACACGGGGGAACTGGCAGGCATTTCCGTGCCTTCCCTCACTGAGGGACAAAACACCCAACACCCCAGAAGTAAAGGGGGACAGGTTTGAACTGGATCTCAGTCTATGGAGATTCAGAGCGCAGTGCGCTGGCTCCAAGCAGGGCTGCCTGGCAGAGGGGAGCTGGCAGCCAGCCCTGCGGCGGAAGCAGAGTTAGGGGAGGCCGGAAGGGAGAGGAGACCTCCGAGTTGTGCCCACCATTGCCGGCCTTTTCAGCCGGCTCCACCTCCTACCAGCAAGTCAGCTGTGAGCCCCAAATCCAAAGGTCCCACCTGTGATCACGTGGCGCTTTAGGGGAACATGGAGACAGAAACCGCAGCAGCAGAATCTGCTTGAACCCCCACACCTAGGGGGTGGCTGGCCTGCAGGCTGTGTCAGCCCAGCGGCCTCTACCCTGCCCCACTCTGCCCCACCCCTCCCGGGACACCCCTGGGAAACTGTCTGGACAGAAGGGGTGGCTTTCCGGCCCACTCCCTACCTGTGGGAGCCGCTAGCGAAGCCCTGACAACCCCGCACCTGAGGAAAACTAGGTACTTCGTGCTACTGCTCAGACTGGACAGATTTCCTGTTTCTCCTTTCCTCTCAGACCCTGTCGGGGCGGGACATCGAGCACCACCTGGCCAGTGTCAGCGCCATCTTTTACGATGACTTTGTCAATGGTACCACCCTGCGGACTAGGCTGGGAAGCCAGCTGCTTGTCACCGCCAGCCGTGACCAGCCCGACCTGGTATGAAAAGACTTCGAGGCTCATTGGGAGAACTGGATATTATCCGCATGCAAAGTTCCCGGCACGCAGTAGACGCTCAGCCATTATAAGGGTGAAAGTAACTTGAAGTCATTGGGCAGGGGACATGTTCCCTGCTACCGTGTGGACAGGCAGCCCCTGCCCCCTGGAAATGGGCCACCTTAGGAGATGGTATCTGTGATCACACCTGTCCATCCCAGGCACTCGCTCACAAGTCCGTGAATGGACCCCAGTGCTGCCCCTCGCTGTAAGCACGTAGGCAGTCACCCAGCTGGTCCCCATGTCCTCTGACACAGGGGGCGATGCTAGCAGTGTTGATGACCTTGACAATGGTGGGAGGTGGCTATTTTGATAAAGGCGATGTAGGGCAGGCAAACCTTCCTTTCTTCCGCCCTCTTGGGGTCTGTGCCTAGGCCTGAGAAGTAAACTGGGATAAGATAAACACACACAACTTATCTCATATTTTATGTGCGCAAGGGAGTTTTCATAAGGAAAATGGAAACCCAAAGAAGAAGTTAAGACCAAGAGCTTGTATGTTTTTTAAATAAACAAAAATTAATTGATGGGGCCGGGGATGTAGCTCAGTGGCACTGTGCCTGCCTTGCAAGCGCAAGGTCCTGAGTTCGATCCCCGGTACCGCAAAAAAAAAATTAATTTATGGAGAAGTAAGAAGACAGAGAGGCTTGGGGCTAAGAGCAATGGACTGCGGTACAGTGGTCAAGACACACCGACGACCAGGGAGACACTGAGGGCAGGCAAGGGCCATGCAATAGGCCTGTGCAGATCCAGTGGGGCATCACCTCCGTCTGGTGGCAGGAATGTTCTCTCCCTGACACCAGGCAGCACCTGTCTCATGGGAAACTGTGAGCTGCTTCCAGGTAGGAAGAGGAGGTCAGAAATCCCTCCCTGATCCGCCGCTTCGCAGTGCCTTCAACTGAAGACATCGACAGGCCCCATGGCGCATTTGAGGTGGCGCGTTCTGAACCCCTTCAGTGATGACGGTGGCGGTGTGGATTTTGAGGAGGAGGATGGTGGTGACGACGCAGATGATGACGTTGATGAGGATGGTGGTGGTGGTGCTAATGCTCACCATGACCATCCGTGATAGCCAGTCACAGGCAGGGACAGAGAGCCAGTGATCCGCACTTGTGACTTGCAGAGCAGGATACCTGGAAGGCCGTCCACAGAAGGGCAGCCCACACAGGGAGAGAAGGCCAGCTGGCCGCAGGGCTGCCAATACCCCTCTTTCCCTAGAAGGAGATCTGGTTCGTGGATGGAAGAGCCATTCTGGAGTGGGACATCTTTGCCTCCAACGGAGTCATCCACATCATTTCCAGGCCTTTAAAGGCGCCCCCTGCCCCAGTGGTGAGTAGCATCCCAGGCTCCTGGACACAACCAGCTGCTGGAAGGGCTGCTCCTCCCCTCCCCTGTGCAGATGTGGAGATGGTCTGTGCCTACTCCCCTTTCAGCGCCCTGGCTGTGGGAACACCCAGCCCGGCCCATCCCAGCTCCCACACAGCTCCCACCACCACTCAGATTTGTGAGTGGAAGGGGAAGGACTGGGCGTGGAGGAGCCAGTGGAAGGGAGCAGGTGCCGCTGAGCTCAGGTTCCGCACTAGGCAGCACCTCTGAGCTCAGGTTTCTCATCTGCAAAGTCACAGGGGCACAGTGCCTCCTCCTGGGTTGGGGGAAGACTGCGAGTTAAGAAATGTAAAATACCTAGAGCAGCCCAGGAACATAGTATGGGGTACCCTCAACTTGGCTGTAACCATGGCTAGTATTGTAACTTTCCCCAGAGCTCTGAGGAAAGGGCAAGCTGCTGCCTGCTGGAAAGTTCCATGGTACAGTAACCAGGCACCTAGGCCCAAAGCCCAGCGGTTCAAAACCCACTTCTGCCACTTCTGCCAGCTCGAAGCCCTCTGTGCCCTAGTGTGTCCACAGAAAAACGGGCGGTGTAATAAATGTCCCCATCCCTTTGAGTTACTACACACTTAAATAGATTATTTCATGGAATGGGCTTAAAGCAGAGCCTGGCAATAACGAAGGCGAACTTATTTTTGCAATACTGGGGATCAAACGCAGGACCTTGTACATGGTAGCCAAGCACTGTACTATTCAGCTACACCCCCAGCCCTAAACACAGGTGGAATTTTTCTTGTTTTTATCCTCATTACTCCATGACGCTTGGGGCCAGCAGAAGTAGGGTGGCCTCTAGCAAGTGTACCTTTCTAGGGGACATCACTGGTTTTAAAAACTGACCACTCTCCTTTCTTCGTGTAGACTTCGACTCATGCTGGCTTGGGGACAGGGATATTCTTTGCCATCATCCTGGTCACTGGATCGATCGCTTTGGCTGTCTATTCTTATTTCCGGCTAAATCGGAGAGCCATTGGCTTCCGGCGTTTTGAGGTAAGAGAGGAAACTGGGAGGGTGATGATGGGGCTCTCGGTCTGTTTCCGTTGCTATAACACAATGCCTGGGAGTGAGGACGGTACAGAGGACAGAGGTTTATTTGGGCTCATGGTTGTGGAGTCCAGGAGGTTCAAGAGCATGGTCAGCTTCCAGTGAGGACCTCGAGCCACTTAAATTCTGCTGTGTCCGGAAGCCTCGCTGTCCAACACCCTGCTGCCATGGTAACTTAGTCCTGCAAGAGAACTGACTGCTGCAAGAAAGGCATTAACCCTCTCCCCAACCCCATCGCCTCATGAAGGCCTGGCCTCCCACCTGTGGCAGCCACGTTTCAGCAGGGGTTATGGGGAGACAGACCCCGGCAGGGTCCCCCGGATACCATGCTCCTGGGTCCGGGCTCTTCAGCTCAGCGGCTGCTCCAGAGAGCTCAGCCAGGGGTTGGCAGCTGGCACAGCCACACTTCCTGCCCGCTGGGTGGGGTTCCTGCCCCAGGAGGATCCAGGGTGGCTGTCTCCTGGCTGAGACAGGCCATTTGGCAGCCGCATTCACCAGGGAGGATTCCCCAGACCAGCACCTGCTGTGACCCCAGCGTGGCCTTCGACACAGGCCCTGAGGCTGCAGAGCAGGGTCAGAGTCAGGCCCAGCACAGCCCAAGGCCTCGCCCCACAGCCTGAGAAGCTCATTTAGCTCCATGTAAACAGCAGAGTCATTCTCAGGTGGGCAGCAAACTCCTGAGCCAGGCGGAGGCCCTGTGTGCCAGTCAGCTTCCAGCGCTGCGATAAGACACACAACACAGTCACCTTAGAGGAGGAAACGCTCCTCTGGGCTCACAGCTTCAGAAGCTTCAGCCCCTGTTCTCCTGACTCATCGCCTTTGGGCCTTTGGGCCTGGAGCGAGGGAGAATGTCAAGGGGGGAGCTGGTGGTCGAGGAAGCAGAGAGACAGGAGGAGGGGCCTGGGGTCCCAGTGACCTCACTGCCTCCCCGCTGGGCCTCAGCTCTTAAAGCAGCAGCGAGGGCTGGGGCCACGCCTTTAACAAGGGCTCTGGGGACTTTTACCCAGAGCTGGGCATTCTCCTTGCATGCTGCGTACCCCGCCTGCTCCTGTCCCCTACATATTCCTGGGAAGGCTGTGCTGAGCCTCCAGCGGCAGCTCCCTGCCTCTGACAACTCACTTGCTTATTTTTCTGCTCAGGGAAACTCTCAGAGACATTCTCCATTCCCTGTTGCCATGACTACCATAGGCATAGGTGAGGTGACTTATAAAGAGCAGAGGTCTGAGCAGCTCACTGTTGGGGAGGCTGGGAGGCCCAACCTTGGGCAGCCGTGCCTGGTGAGGGTCTTTTTACTGCCGGAGACTGCAGAGGCCCAGGGTCCATGCAAGAGAGAATTCCGGTACAGCCACAGACCCATCCGGCTAGGGCCCCACCTCGTGGCCTCCTTTAACCATGGTCACCTTCCGAATACTGAATTCAGTTTGTTTCTGCCTTCTTACACCTCACAGTAAGGTTAGATTTCAGCATGAGCTCGATGAGGAGATCCAGCCCGTAGCAAGGCCATTCTACCCAGTTCGTGGGCGCTGTGCGACTCCTGTGCTATTAAGTTCAAGGTCAGGCTGCTCACTCTGGGGTCTGAGGGGTCACAGTGCCACATGACTCCCCTGGGTGAGGGCCTGGCAGGGCGCAGGAGCACCTCTGGTGGAACAGAAGGGTGGCCACACCTGGGCAGACAGGAGATTCACTGAGGTGGACACAAAAGACTGGTGCATTTGACTGGACATCAAAGTTATCTCAACAAAGCGCTGTTAGAGAGAAAGCGCTCCGGAGGCGGAATGGCCCGCTGTCCCTGCCACCCTGGCTCTCAGCCCTTGCTTGTCTCTGAACAGTCAGACGAGAATGTGGACGTTGCTGCCCTCAGCAAGCAGCCTCCGGAGAACATCTCGAACCCTGCGTACGAGAGCTGGAGCTCAGCGCCACCCCCGCCCCCCTGCGAGCCCCTCTCCGTGAGTCCCCACTGCGCCCTGTGTGTGTCCTGTGCTCCGGGCTCTTTCCCAGGAGGTGGGGAAGCGGGAGGTGGCCGGGTCCTAATCTCGTGACCAGGCGGAGTGCAGCAATGAGCTGAACTGGCCGCAAACACTGGTGAGGTAGCAGATGCAACACAAGACAGAGGCCCTTTAAAAACTGATTTTGCCTTTAGCTCTCCCTTCGATGTGTATTTACCTTGATTTTTCTGTTGTCAGAACTGCATCTCGCTTTGGGCACTAGTTTTCTTAAATGAGCCCCTTATCTGGGTCTTCCAAGAAAGGACCATTGATTTCTAGAGTTAGTGACACCCGGGGAACCCATGGCAGGGACCCCACTCACGTAGCTGTGGCTTCTTACCAGTTCTGCACTGAGCAGCTAGGGAAAGACTCCGTTTCTCCCCTTGTGTAACAATAGGAAAGCAATGGCCAGTGAGCCTCATGCCTTTGTTTACCCAGCAGGCTGAGCACCCTCAAGCCCAAAGAAATAATGTGCCTGGCTCACGTGGGTCTACAGTGCCTGTGGGATTGACCAAAGCCAGAGAGCAGCTGACATTGTTTAGTGCACACAGCGACGCTATCCCCCCAAGACTGTGCTGTGGTTAATTGAATTTTTGTAAGTTGGCACTGAAGCATTACAAAAATGTTTTCTTGCATGGGTTTTAAGCTTGTACTGTGCAACAGATGTTATTATTTTTGTGACGTAAACCAAATGTCAGTCTCTCGTGGCTCTTAGTGCCTGTGGTACCAGGTTTAATATCTTTATCATAGGTTGGAAAATAACTAGGTTGCAAATCTTACTTTGTTTTTTAACCTAACCCATGTAAAAGTGGTCCAGATTTCAAGGGTGGGTTCAACTAAATTGCATTTATTAACTAGGAGTTTGTTTTGGTAAGCATCATTATGTTGAAATCAGTGTCATTTAAAAAGCAGAGGAGCTGGGCAAGGTGGTGCACACCTGTAGTCCCAGCACGTGGGAGGCTGAAGCAGGAGAATCACCATGAGTTTGGGCCAGCCTGGGCTACAGAGTGAGTTCAAGGCCAGCCTGGACTACAGAGTAAGACCCAGTCTCCAAAAGCTAAGTAATAAAAGCAGAGGAGACCCAACCATAGCTCCTGTCCAATGCGCTCCATCCCTTCCCAGCTGTCTTCCTTCCCCAGGCCCTGTCTGCTCTGCGCATGACTGACTCATCTGAGACAGGTGAGCATCCTAGAACCAGGATGCAGCTGAGCCTTCTGCTCAGAACAGGTGGCACAAATGTCCCAGTGACAGGATCCTGGGTGCAGGACACCAGCCCCGAGGGATGCTAGATGCTTATGTCCTTCGAACTGAAGCGTGGGGACCCTGGACAGGACTTGTAGCTGGTCCAGGCACCCTGGAGCCACTGACTCCGCCCACCGGACCCCTCTGCTAACACACAGACTGGGCCAAGCCTCAGTGCCCTCAGCACTGGGGTCAGATAAAATCTCACCCTAAAAGCTCAGGAGCCACCCTGGTCCGGGACAGATTTGTGACCCAGCTGGGTGGCTCAAACCTCTCTGTTTGTAGTGTCCATTGACACCCCACGAGGCGCATGTCATTAGGGCCCTTTAGACACCAGGCGGCGGCGATGGTGCAACCAAGGTGATTTGACAAGGGCTGTGCAAGCAGCTCAGGCTGCAGGGACTTTGAGGGACCCCCGACAGGCAGCCCGAACCACCCACACCCACCTCCCGCCTCCTGTGCTAGGAGAATCACGATGTAGGCCTCAGACTGCAGGCCCGAGGAATGCTCAAGCTGCAGGCATCCCGCAGCAGGACGGCTCCTGCTCCAGGTCACTGTCAGCCCTCTCTCTCCCAGGAGCTGGACAGCAGTGACCCCCTGGGGGCCGGGACGCTGTGAGGCTCCCACGAGAGCAACCAGCTGTCAGCCACCGCATCCCAGCCATCGGAGCCTCGGAAGGCCCTCAACTGTGAATCCTCAGAACCAGCAGCCTCGTGGAACGAAGAGACTCAGCATTTCACAAGCTGAACCTCTCTGCAGTAAAGGACCAACTGCTAAGGGCACCAGCAGACGGTGCCCTCTGCCGAGTCCTTCCTCCCCACCTTTCAGATGTCACTTATTACATCCCGCCAGCCGTGGGCAGCTGGATCTCTCCCAGACAGGGCTTGCCCGCTCGCCTTTCTATCCCAGCTCCCAGCCCTGGAAATGTGCTCGGAAATGTTTATGCAACAGAAATAAAATCAACAAAACATATCGAGTGTCTTGGGAAACCAAAACCTGTTCACAACAAGAGGGGGTCAAACTCTGAAGGCAAAATCCACGTCTATTAGGAGTGACTGGGGCTTTTCGCTTACTCGACATCTGCCTTATGCAGTTCTTTCCTAATTCAGCTTTGTTTGCCTGTGTCTACCTTAAGATAGGGTAGGACAATGAGCTGTCCCTTCACACCCTCCATGCTGGCCCCAATCAAGTATCAGTGTGGATATGAAGAACAAAAGGCTTCATCCACTGCTGGTGGAAATGTAGAACAGTATGGCCACGGGGGAAACGCTGACAGTTGCTCAGAGAGGGAAACAAAAAGTTACAGTAGGATCAGCAATCCCACTCCTAGGTAACAAGTGCGTGTGTTTTCATGGTAAGATAATTCCTAAACCAGAGATGTCTGTGTGTGTATTCGTCTGACAGATGGATGGCAGCATCCGGTCCATCCCTGAGGAAAACGAAGCTCTGACACATGCAACACTGGTGAGCCATGACAACGCTGCTTAGTTTCTCCTGGAGATGATTAGGTGAGGGAAGGTCCTAGACGCGGGGCAGGAGGTGAAAGCCGCCAATCCAACCATGCACTTTTGCAGATGAAAAGTTGAGGCAGAGACAAGCAGCTGTGGAGAACTGCGTGATGGGGTGTGGGTGGAAGAGCCGAAGTTCCTTGTCCCCAGGGCTCCCCTTCCTGTGCCCGGTGCCCACAGTGCTTCAACCTGATGTGAAGTTTCGGGTCATTTCCCTCTGCCCACCCACACAAGAGCTCTCACCTCACTGTTTGTGTTTTGGGGGTTTTTTTGGTACCGGGGATTGAACTTGGGACTGTACGTGTGTGCGGCTGGCACCAGAACCACTGAGCTAAATCCCCGGCCCTCACCTCACTGTTTTTATCAGTTGTCAACCACCATCCCCAGGACAACCAAGCACCCTGAGCCACTCACCCACCTACCCAGAGTCCCCCTCCGGCACAGCGTTGGCCAGCGCGGGGCCACTGCTGGGGACAGAGTGATGGGCTGGGTTGAGTACCAGCCACATCCAAAGTTCTGGAGGGACCAGTGCGCCTTGCAAGCTCTCTCCTAACTCCAGGAGAGGGGAGCCCCTAGTGCGGCACGGGGTGGAGTGCCACTTCCTCTAGGACAGCGTGCCATGATGGGAGAACGCCAGGTTGGCAGGAAGTCACTGCAAACAAAGAACAGGGCACAGACTCCCCGCTGAGTCCCCAGCACCCACCCCACGGGGACAAAAGGGCCAGCGACTGAGAGGGGCACCGGGTACCTGAGGCGAAATGGATGCATCGCACAGCAAGCAGGAGGGATTTTAAGATGCTGGAGTCACATTTTAACGTTTACTAACAAGGCCTTCAAAATATTTATAGATTTATCCAAAACCCAGGAATGGATTCATTTCATTGCCCTTACTCCTAATTCCCTATTTCCTTTGCTTAAAACATCTCCCAACTTTCCTCGTAACTTGATGACGAGCCCATGTGCCACCGTTTCTCCTGGGACCCAGGAGGAACTCCCTGTGGGGACAGCAGGGTCCCCACCTGGCCTGCACGGTGCTCGCAGTCTCTGCCTTCGATTTACCTGGTCTCCAAGCCCTGGAAGAAGAGGGATGACGTCACTACCGGAACTCTAACCTCCTCTGGGGATGGATACCCTTGTTTGGGTCCACTGGGATTTTTTTAATCTAAGACTTCTTTCACTTCTTTACGAAGAACAACCTCGAGTCCTGGCTAAAAGTAGGTTTAGAAAATGACAATGCAGATTCAGCACACAAAACAGATGACTCACAACAAATCAGGCAATAACAATGCAAACTTTTATTTGGCTGTAAGTTCAGTATCATTTAACACATAAAATTAACATTCGGAATAAAGAGCAAATTCACATTCAGAATAAATACCAGGTCTACCTAATTTGTATTTGTGGTGCCTGACACCATACAGGGGCAATTTGTCGTTCCACTAAATGATTAGAAAAGGCTCCTAAGGTGGGAGCTGAAGCCTACACTGCTAGGAAACAAAAAGCACTGGGGGGGGGGGAGGTTCCCCGGGGGCACAGGCTGCAGGCAAGAAGGGGATGCACAGCTGTGGGGAGGTGCTGGCTGTCGGGGCCTCCTCCCTGCAGGGAGCTCCGCAGCTGGAGGCGTCCCCAGGGCTGTCCCGAGCCCAGCCGATGGCGATGGCGACCACGAGGCCAGCCGGGGAGCAGGACCCCAGGGAGGGCGTGACCCCAGCGGGGGCGTGACCCGAGGGTGGACAGCTGCAAACAGGCAGCCCCCGCGCTCCCAGCTGCTGCAGGCTGGAGACCTCGGAGCTCAGCAGCCAGTGCCAGGGCAGCCACACACCTGAGCGAGGGCACAGCACGAGGGGCTCCCCGCCAGTGCCGGGACGGGGCGCTCAAGGAAATGTCCCCCGGGGGGATCTGCCCCTCCTGCCTAGGGAGCCCTTCAGGGGCCAGCAGGGACAGCCAGGGCCAGTCCCGCCCACGGCCTTTCTGCACATCACGTCCCACAGGGACACAGCCGGCCGTTCGCCGGGAGACCCTGCAGGCCTCCAGCACTGAAAACCACCCAGCTGGCGCTGAGGACGAAGCGCTAACCTGCATGAGAGGATCTTTGCCCCTTCCCCTTCCTTAACCCTCCGGTGGTGTCCAAGTCGGCTAAACTTTGAGCCCGGCCCCCAAATACAAGGCCCCCAAAAAAGAAGTGGCACAAAAGGAAATCAGTATTAAAAGGGGGGAAACAGGCTCCCTGGCCGCTGAACGGAACAGTGGAGGAAGCCCGAGTCCGGCCGATCTAGCCGCAGAGCACCGAAGCCGAGGGCGCCCATGTGGGTCTCAGTCCCGCCGTCTACTCAGAAGCGCCCTGGGCAGGAGGAGGGGCGGCTCCTGGGCACCCAAAGCAGAATCCCGGAGGAGGCGAGACCACTTTCACCCCTCCTCAGTGAAAGTAATCTGCAGGCGGAGCCAACGCTGCGACCCACCGACCATAACCTAGTCTGGGACCTGCCCTCCCCCACGGCGGGCGCACCTGCGATGTGGAGCTAACGGTGAGCGCGGCAGATGGAGTAAACCGTGAGAAAGGGCGGCAGAGAGCAGCGTGAGAATGGTCCGAGGAAAGCGGAGTTTCAAGGCGAACGCCGAAAACATTGTTTTAAAGGCCAGGCTTCCTCTGTAAAGGCGACTGGAAGCAGGCTGCTCCCACAGGCCCCCACACGCTGTCACGCCGGGCGGGCTGCCCCGACCAGGGACTCTCATCCACACTCCGAGAAGATCGGTCTCAGCAACGCTGCTAACGTGCCCGTGAAATGTTCATCAGTTTACTGCTCGCCTTAGAGTGACCTGTTGGTGGCAGAAACCAGGCTGATTTCCCAGAGAGCAAAGCGGGGGGAACAAGGGATCGGCAGAGGGAGTGACAGGGAGCAGCTGCAGCCTGGACGGGGCTCACGCCGGCCCCAGCGATGGGTGGGGGGCGTGGCTGTGCGGCCCCCAGCGCGTGATCGGGCCCTGGTGCAGCACTGACTGAGCCCCTCCTGACAGGGGATGAATCCAGCATTCATACCCAGAAGCTGGTTTTCTCCCTCAAAGCTTGGTGACTCACTCGCCGAGGTGTTGGGTCAAGTTCTACTTCAGTCTTGAGTAAACCAAACCCCCAGGACTGTCACCCAGCGCACAGCCAAAGAATCTGATTCGATCCAAACCAGGAATTCTTTTTTAAACGCCTGCTTCCTCATTCTGCTTCTCTAAAGCAGAAATCATGAGCACGGTGCACGGGGCACCTCAGACACTAGAGCGCGGAGCTAGGACACAGCACGGCTGCCGCTCCAAGCCAGGGCCCCACTACCGTGCCCAGGCGCCTGTGTTTATAACAACAGTGGGCGGAACGAGGGAGCCAACCTGGCGAAGGGCCACCTTCCTTCCCATGATGCTCAAACACCAAAACATCACAGGTAAAATCCCACAGTAACAAGGGCGCTACGGGGTGCGCTACACACTCAGGACTTCTACACCGGGCGCTGGCGTCTGCTGAGTGCCAGGCTGGCCCCATCCACAGCTGCAGTGCGCTCACTACACTGGAAATTCCCGGTGGGAAGCACCCTCCACAGGTCCCTTCCCAGCCCTGCCACACAGTTTGGGCAACACCGCCCGGAAATGTTCACGAGCCACGTGCGGCGGAAATGCCACAGCACCAGGGTGACTGTGACGTGCAGAGCGAGCGCAGGGTGTGGATGCAGCGGGATCCAGAAGGCGTCCCTCCAGCGTGGGGAAGAGAGGACAGTGTCCAGACTCGGAAAGAGTGGAGGAGAGCTCGGTCAGCGGGGTCTTCCTGTGACCTGCAACACCCCTCATCCTCCCCCGCCTGACGATAAACACGCCAACTCCCAGGAGCCAGAGCCAGAGCCAGGACAGGACAGGACAGGAAGCACAGCGAGCAGGAGGAGGCGCTGCAGGCGCTGGGCACCCCTCCCGCCTGGCAGGTGACAATGGAGGCGGCTCCTTGCTGGTTCTCCTTCCTGTCCCCCATGTCCCGTCCGCCACCTGGAAAGCAGCTTTATGGGGCGCCAGTCTTCTGCTCCCTCCCCAGACACAGAGGGAAGCTGCCCCGCTGCGGTCACTGCCGCCCTCAGCCAGCTCTGGGGAGGCCGCAGCAAGCACACGGTGAGGGCGAAGGGTTTTTGTTCTCCCCATGTGAGTCACCAGCAGCCCCGCCACAGCTTAGGGCGGCAGGACGTGGGCCTCGGCCACTGCTTCCTGCCAGCCTGTACCTCTGCGGGTCAGCGTCCCACTGCCAGCCGCCAGTGCCTGGGGAACGTGCACGCAGAGCCCCCTCGAGCACACAGATGGAGTTGGGGTCTCTCCTACCCCAGGACAGTGACACAGCTCTGGGGCCTCCATAACCACAGGCTCGTCAGCCGCGCTCAGCCCGCCCCATCCACCCACCAGGTCCCCCAGGATCCGGATCCGGGCGCTGCCCCAGGCTGCGGCTACTCGGCCTGGGCGGCCTGCAGGACAGGGGCTCCGAGCGGGGACGGCCCGTCGGCCCAGGCGGGCAGCTCGTGCTGCAGCGGAGTCCGGCGGGGGTAGAAGGTGTGGTGCACATCGTAGCTCAGCAGGCAGCTCAGGGACGCCATGTAGATGTCCGCGAAGCGTGACAGGCGGCGCAGGAAGTAGGTGGGGTTCTGGTCTGTGCGGAACAAGCTGCCGAACTGCGCGTTGAAGAAGCTTTTGGTCATTTCCCTGAAGCAGCACACAGAAAAACGGCAACGGGTGATTTTCTTAAGCTTTCCGGTAATTAGTTTTTAACTTTTTATTAGTACAGATTTGCAGTACATAATGATTACTCTCGTTACGCGGAGTGGTACTCGTGCCTAACAGGATTTTTACACTGATTTATTTAGTTAGGGTTTTTTGAGACAGGGTCTCACTATGTAGTCCAGGCTGGCCTCCAACTTTCGATGATCCTCCCGCCTCAGCCTCCTGAGAGCGGAGAGCACAGACATGCAGCATGACGCCCAGCAACACGTGACTGTTAAAGGCTTGGTTTCCAACACTGAAATCAAAAACTCTTCTGAAACAGACTCACGAGAAAGAATTAGCAGCCCTAATTTCTAACTAAGAAAACCATCTGCCGGCCAGCTCTCAACATGAGTCTGGCCACACTGCCACCTTACGCCAGGGGACAGGCTCGGTTTCAAGGCCCCAGATTCTACCTGAGCCCCTTTTAGCGTGCACACGAGGGCTCCAAAACAGAGGGCTGAGCTGCCTCTGAAGATGTCAGAGACATTGCGAAGTTCTCACCTGTCCCCAAAACCCCCTGGTCTACAGAATGGCATGGAGACCTCTTTTTGGCCACTGTGGTGGCACACTCCTATAATCCCATCATTTGGGAGGCTGAGGCAGGAGGACCACTGGGAGTTCGAGGCCAGCCTGGAGTACCTAGCGAGACACTATCTCAAAAGTAAAAACAAAACCTGCTGCTCTTACCTCACCTCCTTCCTCTCCTTCTTCCACCCCTGCAGAACCAGCTGCGACTCCGGGTCCCTGTGAACCTGCGGGCAGAAGCCGAGCCTTAGGCGGTGTGGACTTCAGATCAGCCGCGACTCAGGGTTTCCCCGCGGGCACACTTTACCCCTTTACGCCTATGAGGCAGCGCCTGCCTGCGGGAAACAGAACATTTCACACCGCCCCGCTGAACCCTGCCTTCCTCACTAACACACAAAACACTTTAAACACCTGTCATCTGAACCTGGTTTAACAAAATAAGATGGAACTTTATGAAGCTATTCGACGGTTATTAAAAGCTATGTATGAATGTAACATATGAATCCTCATAAATTCACATCTAAGGTGAGCAATGACATCACACACGTCACGTGTCCTATGTACTTATGTGACAAGCGGTGCACACACTAACAGCAAGCGTGTAAAAGCATCACGTTGGCAGAGTAGATGCTACATGTGCAACTTTTTATAAACGTGTACAAGGGCAGAAGGACTAAGCGGTCTTAACTTTTTCCTTAATGCCACATCATCTCTTCAAATGCTTCACAGAAGCAACTTACTCTTTGCAAGCGGCAGGACAGCAGCGCATCCCAGTGAGAGGGGGGCAGAGGGTTTCCTGGTGGGGCCAGAAGGTGGGAGAAGGAACAGGCAGCTGCCCTGGAGGGCACACAGGGAGTCCCGCGAGGGTCCCGACAAAGCTCCTGCAGCTGAGGCGAGGGCACTGCTGCCAAGTCACTGGTGCACGTCACGCGGGGACAGGTGGGGCGTCCCACGGTTCACGGGCACAGGGTGACCTCTGAATGCGGAGGAAGTCACCAGCTGGGCGGCCACCTGCTCTCCACGTGGTGCCAGCAGCTTCTGCTTATTTATCACATCTGCCAGCTCTGCACTGTGACTGCTGACAGTCACCTGGCTTTGCCACTAGGTCAAAAACACTGACCCCGGAGTCTGAAGCGTGGGTGTCTGGCCCAGGGCCGCGGGCTCCGTCACCAGACAGACAGTCACCAGACAGAGCTGCCAAGCCAGAGCTGCTGCCCCTGTCCCAGGCCCAGTCGGGGGCGGGGGGGGGGCGTGTTCCGTGGGCGGATCTGAAATCAGCTCTCACGTTTCAAACCGAGAAGTACTCACTGGGGAGCGCAGGCTCTAAGTCATACACAGAATTTAGACCAGCAGAGGAGGGGCCCCCAGGCATGTCTCTGTGTGCGTGTGTGTGCGTGTGCGCGTGCACTGGACACTGGAGACACGGAGGACAGGATGGAGCCCTTGTGGGCGGCCTGTGACATAACACTGACACCACCTAGGCGGGTTTCTGCAGCCCTGCCCTCGGCCCGTGTCCTCCTCTAAGAACAGGAAGGAGACACCGGCTCCCTCCCCTGCCCATTAGGACCGGAAGCTTGAGACCCCACCCCAATTCCTGGGTAGATAGAAACCCTCAGGCCCTGTGTGGAGCAGTGAGGTGCTGGCCCTCTGGGAGGCGACCACGTCTGTCCTGAGGGGAACCAGAGACCCCGGCCCTCTCCCCACCATGCTCTGGGCCTCACACGCTGGGACCCAGAGCTGGCCCCAGAGCTGTGGGGGACACGCTGAGGCACGAGCCCGGGGCTGCACGCTTGTCAGAGGTGCCACACGGATCCCCAAGCCACCCCTGCAGGCAAGGCGCGCGATCAGCCACCTGCTCTCTTCTCAGGAGCGCCCTCCACGCAGCCTGCAGGCTCAGCGCTCGCCATCCAGGCCTGGCTGGGCCCTCAGCCCTTGCACGCAGGCCACACCCCGCGCCGCCTCCCTCCCACCAGCCTCCTGCCCCCACAGGGACCCAGTCCGTGCGCATTTACTCCTGCCTCTCTCCCCTGCCTCTCTCCCCGCTGCAGTAAGCTCCTCTCCTCCAGCCTCCTCCTCAGGAGTTGGGCCTGACGTTACTCCTCCACCCTCCCTAGAAACCCCAAATCATACTCTCCCACCGGACTCACCCCACGCGCCCCAGTGACCCCCTGGCACCCAAGCATCAAACCCGATCTCAGAGGACAGATTTGCCTCCTCTTGAATAACGAGCTTTGTGCTCTAAAATATCCCCTGGCAGGGTTCTAGGACAAGGGAGAGCAGGACTTTGCAGGTGGACGCAGGCTGGAGCTGGCACAGGGAAGGTGCTGTGCGGTGTTTGCAAACCACCAGCCAGGCTCCTCACAACCTAGGCCCCGCCCACAGCGCCCTGATGTGCTCTCCCTCCGGGACACGGGGCCACAGTCAGCCTGGTTCCCTTCCGCCCAGCCCGCCCTGCGGGCCACCAGCTCTGGAATTCCGGAAGTCACTCATCCATCGGCCCAGCTTCTTCCCCTGGACAACCGGGTGGCGGTGACATGAAAGGTCCGTAATTCCCGCTCTCCACTCCCTAACCTGGGCCCTGGACCGTTAATTCTCCAAGTCACAGGAGTTTCGGCAGCATCTCCCTTCTTTAACACACACACCCGCTGATCACCAAACTTTTTTACAGGTCAGAGCGGAAAACCAAAGTACAGCAAAGCTGTTCCCAAAGCGAAGATGTGCTGACACCATCACCCGAGGGCTATGTCTGTCTGACCACCATCTCTGAGAGCCTGCAACAGGGCAGGCAGGGCTGTCCCTTATCCCCAGGAGACTCCTGACCCAACTGATGTCCCAACCCCACACATGCTGTTTTGTTTCCTGTACACCCACACACCTATGATAAAACCTAATTTAAAAATTAAGCAGAGCAAGAAGGTAACATCAACAAAAATAACAGATCAAATATAACAATGCACTGTAATAATGCAAGTCATTTAAGACTATTTCCGGATTTTTCATTTAATATTCCTGGACCGCAGCTGACCGCAGGGAACTAGAAGTTTGAAAGCAGCCCCGTGCCCCGGCCCCCCAGCGACCAGCCAGAGGACGGTGGGGACCTCGGCCAAGTGCAGCCCCGCTCCGCCCCTGTGCCCTGGCCTCCAAGTGACCAGCTTAGCTGCGGGCCCCTGCAGGCTGCCCCCCCCAACCCCAGCCTCCTGGCTGTGCTGCAACCTGGTTCCACACTACAGAGGCACAGGGGGTCATAAAGGCCATTGTCCTGAGCTCCAGAAGATAGAGCAGAAGTGAACAGAGAGAGGGCCTCTCTCAGGCTCCCTGATAAAAACTGAAGCCCACTGGAAGAGTGAAAAGAATCTCTGCAATAAAGGCACACCAGACCACCATGCTAGGTAAGTTGGAGGGATCCTCACCTCCCATCGGAACCTGGACTATCTCCAGGGGAAGGGCAGCTGGAACCTGCAGTAGAGCCTTGCAGAGTTCAACCCTGCAGGAGGACAGGGAGCTCACTTGGGACTTGCAGCCAGAAATCAGCCTGAATCACATGGGTCTGCGACTGGCTTGCTGAGACTCATTGACTTGTATCTGCACACTGCTGCCCACGTTGTCTATTGTGACAGCAGAGAAATACCCTGAAGGAGGCCCTTCATTTTTATTTTTTGTTATTTTCCATTTTTTTGGCTCTTATTTTTAATTTTTATTTTTTTCTACTCTTCAAATTTTTATTTTTCTCTTCTTGTTTTTTTTTTCTCTTTTCTTTCTCTTTCTCTCTCACTCTCTTGCTGTCCTACATTGTTTTTCATCTCCTTTTTGTTCCTGTTCTGGCCCTAATTCAGATTTCTTCTTTCTTTTTCTTTTCTTCTCCTTTTCCTTCTCTCGATTGTCATTAGTTTTAAAGGAAAGTAAATGCAGTTTCTAGCCTCCCTATTGCTGTTAGGTTGTTCTGTTCTCATCTTAGTTCCTTCATTCTGTCTTTTCCTCTTATCTTCAACAGTTTCCTAGAGTTTGTGTGATCTTCCTCTGCCCTCTGGCCTCACTGCTAACCTTTCCCTATCCTTCTACCTATCCATCCCTCCCTCCCCAACTCCTTCTAAGTTCCCATGCTGAAGGGTAAAGTTGCTATATTGAAGAGTTTATTCACTATAAGCATATTTTGGGCTGGTCCTCGATTTTGATTTAATTCACACAGTTAAAGGTGATACATTAATAACTACCACAAATTGTCATTTTCTAAGATGTACTTGATGCTATGGTGTTGCTGATTATATCACTTAGGCTAAGGTGTTGTGACTGATTTAATCAGTTGTCCTTCCTGGTATAATGAAAATAAGATAGCCTTAGAGTCATTAGAGACTCAAAACCTAAACACCAGCTATATCTGGAAGACACCAGTGAAAAGCAATCATTCCATAAGGGTTCTAAATAAAAGCAACAAAGATACTTACAATAATTAAAATTCTGAAGTATCAACCCAGGAATTAAACCAAGGACAATACCAAAAACAATAATAAGAAGACATTTAAGCAAGGTACAAACTCAGACTTCCACCCCACAAAAGGCAAATTCTGGGGGAAATGAGGTAGAAAAGTCTGATAATCAACCACCTGGACACCCTGAACTGATAGCACAGGAAGTAACAAAACAGAAGAATGAGGCCCTAGAAAAATTCAAAACAGAAATAATTTCCCAGATAACTACAGAGATGGTGAGCAGAGTGAAAGACATGATTCAAGGCTCTAGAACAGAAGCAGATAAAAAAATAGATGAGCTCAGAACCATGCTGGAAGCCATGAATGCCCAGCATAAGAAAGAAATGGAAACCATGATCACCCAACATAAGAAAGAAATGGAATCCATGAAACAGATGCAAATAGATATCTAGGAGATTAAAAACTCCACTGAAAGTATTCACAGCAGATTAAGGGAATATGAAGAGAGAATATCAGATATAGAAGACGGGATTGCAGTTAGTGACCAAGAAAACAGAGATTTCTTAAAAATAGTAAGGGACCACGAGAAATCAATCCAGCAGCTGCTAGATGATGCAAAGAAGAATAACACAAGACTGATAGGAGTCCACGAAAAAGCAGGAGAAAGTACAACATAAAAAAAAAATGTTCATAAAATTAATAGTAGAAAATTTCTCAGACAAAGATAGAGAATTGGACAAATAGATAAGTGAGGCACATAGAACTCCAACTACCCTCAATCAAAAAAAATCTACACCTAG